TTTGGGCATTATCAATTTCATCAGAAATTCCAGTAATTCGCATGATCATGACTGTAGAATCCTATTGGAGAATATTAAAAAAAGATTACCTATACAAATTTAATTGTCCACAGATTGATTTTGTTTGTTATATACTTGTTGAGAAACTAGTACTTATGCAAATATAGCAATATCAATTACTCTTACATAAGCAGATTTACCATCATGGCATGAAGATTTTAAAATGGAATAGAAAAAACTTAGCACTCATGTGATTAAAAATTCTAATTAATATTTAACTAACAAAGAACATTGGATATGTTCTTGTTCTTATTTTTTAAAAAATAAGTTTTTTTGTGCAAACATCTTGTATATTTTCTTGGAATAATGAACACATCCTTCTTTAGAAAGGTACTTTATATATTAATATTTTCATAGTAAAAATAATTTACATACTATTTTTTATTTAGGTTCAACATAATTCAAGTTATCCATTTATTATAGAAGCTGAAAAAACTTTATAGGAAATAATTCATATATCATCAACAAATAATATAACACCTACTATAATGATTAATTCTATTGCTTTCGATGAATATAGTATATCAAAAATAATTATAGAGATGAAGATGAAGATGAACATGAAGATGTTGAAGATACCAAAACTAAGTTAAAAATTGAAGAGTATAAAAACACACTTTACATGGTAAAATTTATTATAACTTGTTTATATTGTATAATTAAATTCTCTTAATTATTTTTTTCTTTTAGTCTTTAGATATTTTAGAAAAAGTGTATAATCTTTGACAATGAAAAAAAAATAGCTAAACAATATTGAATCAAACTTTATACTGATTTAAAAAATGGTTAATGATATAAAATGCTTGGAGTAAGCAAAACAACTTCCACAAACATGGAATGGATAAAATAAAAATATTTTTTATTGGCAATAAAGTTAATATATAATTGAATAGATTAAATAATGTAGATATATGCTAAAGTGAAAGGCTATTATGATTTATGAAATATAACTATATTTTTATATGTAGTGCTGATATACCTTTGTTCTTAATAAAAATTAAAAGTTTATGCAATAAATAATTTACATAATAAGTTATACAATAAACAATAAGTTTTTAAAACTTTAATAATAAATTTTATTTAAAAATTCATATATAATCAAAAAATAAAATAAATTAGCTTTTATATGAAACAGCATTGCTTTGTGTGAATACCTTTAAAATAGTTATTTTTAATCAAATATCATAGTATTCACTGAATTAATATTCCAAGTCTTGTGCACTTGTTATTATTTTATAAAATTATAGCCCAAAAATTTATGTTAATAAAATCGATATTAAGTTTTTTGTTTAAGTGCCAATTTTGTAAATGATTTTAGTAGTTATGCTAGCATAGTTGTTGTCAGAGCAGTGTTGTAGCATGTGGCAGGTAACCCTGACTATTCTCTCTATCTTTTCAATCTGTTGACTCTTGTCAACATGCATTAAAGCAGACTAATCACGATTATAATAGTGACAGTGCAAAAATTTGGCGATACTATAATCTTCGAGCCAAATCAGAGTGGCAAGTGTTCAGAAAATTATGTTCTGAATCAATGAGATCATGAATACTGATTTGTTGTACATATATAACAAATTTGATAAGTATACCTTTATGATTTATCAAAATTAATCATTAACATCAAAGTAAATAAATTAAACACAATATGTAGTGAAAAATAATTAATATGCAAAAATTATTATGTAATATATCTTAGAAATTAATATCTTCAAAATTTAAAATTAAATTAAACACATATATCTAGAAGTTAAATACATAATATTTATCTTTGAAATTAAACTATAACAGTAATATCTAGAAATTAATGCATATATCTTTAAAATTAATTAAACATGAATATCTAGCAATTAAATTAAACATGTAATATTTTGAAATTAAATTAAATGTGAAATACTGTATCTTTGAAATTAAATTAAATGTGAAATATTGTATTATTGAAATTAAATTAAATATGAAATACTGTATCTTTGAAAATTAAATTAAATGTGAAATAATTGTATAGTATCTCTAAATATATTAAATAAATTTGCAATTTTTTGAAGTAAATACAAGTTATTAAATTTTATAAAAGATATTTTTAGTGTAAAAAGGAAGAATCTAGAGATTTAATAGTACTGTATTACTTAAATCGAATTTTATTTTAATTAAAATTATTATATACATGTTTTGTTAGTTTTGGACTGTGTAAATACATCTCTGTTATTACACACTACTAGTTTTGCTACAATCCTTATTTTCTCTTCCTTATACTATTACTACACTATCTATTGACTTATTATAGTATAATCAATCCCTTATTCTCAAAATTGCTATAGTCTTAATAATTCCTTTTTATATTTTTATATTATCTATTAACTTCTTATCAATATACTTTATAGCCGTATTACAACAATTCTTTCTCTTGTTCTATCTAATAAAATTTTAATATAGCACATACCTTTTTATAATATAATGGCATCTTCAGATAGAAAGAGATGTTCTCACTGTGACAAATATAAGGAGCTTAATGATTTTGTCTAACTATATAAAAGTGAAATAAAAGAATTTTCTAATTATAATACCTGCGCAAAAGTTAAACAAGGAAAACAACCTGCAAATATTAGTAAATCAACAAGTGTAAAAGAAAACTAGATTGTGACTGAAAATTATAATGAGGAAATTATCATTAATAATATTGATAATGATAACAGAGCTTGGTTTAGTTTGACAGATATAGAAAATTTGATAGCAAATTGTTTTGAAAATCCTGAAGAAAATGGCCATATACAGTTTTCTGGAATGCTAAAATTTGATAATGACTTTATTAATAATATCTCAAGTGAAAGTCAAGAGAATAACAAGGAGATTATATACCATAATATAGCTAAATCACTCCTCATGTCTATTGAAGCTGGATCTCGTGATTATTGAAAAATAAAAAAAGTCTATTCTCATAAAAAAAATAATCAATTAACTGGAGAAGCAATGGTATATCTTGGTTATGCTCAAAGAGAAGAGTATAAATGTACATACTCAGAAAGTTAACAAGTAAAAAAAATAAGCGAAGCAAGGCCTCCAATCAATTAGTATCAATATAGTGGAAATACTAAGATGATTATTGATATTAATAAGTATTAAGTAAATATATGTCTTGAACATTTAATAGCCCACAAATATTCTACATACTATGAAAATAATTTGCCCCAAAATGCTATAGCTTGGATATCTTGTAACATAAATAGAAATATTTGAAAAATAGAATTCTATAGAAGGTTAAAAGAAAAAAAGCTTATTAATTCAAATATAAATACTTATCAACAAGTATATTATTTGGTTATGAAATTTTTTGCTCAACAGTATGTCACAAGCATCTCTAATCAGCTTCTTTTAGCATGTAATTTCTTGAAACAGAATGAACTAATTGATCAGGGATATAAGGGTTTACTGTATATAGAAAATGACTTTATTAGATCTCTTGGATTTACAACTCCTTTTATCTATTATATGTCAAAGAATAAAATTAGTGAAATTATTTTGGATTTAACATATAAGACTAATAAGGAAAAATTTGAACTTTTTGCTTTTATAAATAATTATGGTGAATTTGAAGTTCCAATTGCATACTTATATCTTTATACCATCACGGCATCAGTAGAATTATTACAAGATCCAAAAAATAAATTTCATTCACGTGTATTAGTTCTAAAAGAATTTTTTTCTGTACTAAAAACTAAAGGATAAATATTGCAAATTTTTATTAGTATTATTTAAATACAGTCAACTATTAATATAACAAAATTTTGGGTCTATTAATAAAATTTTTATAAATATATATAATAGATTTTAATAAATTTTTAAATCGATAGTTGACTGTATAATAAATAATTGTTTTAAAAAATCTAATATCTCTGATTAATTTGATTTAGAATTTGCCCTAGCTTTATACTTATAAATAAAGATGCTAGTGAATTAGCAGCTATAGAAGGAGTTTGGTCTTAAATACCAAAAATCCAGATTTGCTTGTGGTATGCTAAGCATGCTGTTACTAGAAAATTAAAAGAAAAAAAAAAATAAAACCAGCCAATATACATTGCAAGTAGCTAGTGATGCTAAAAAACAATTCAGGTTTATTGATGAACTTTGGTTACCTAATAATCAAGAAACTATTATATATCCTGAAGAAAATATATAAGAAATTTTAAAAATAATTAAAATACATGCACTAATGCATCCTCTTATTCTAATTAGCAAAGAAATATTTCTTACCTCAGTCAAAATTTATCGCCAAAGTGTTTGGGAAATATATAAGTATTGTAAAGAAAGAAATCTCATTTGTTTGTGGAGCTATTTGTGGGTTAACTGGTATAAAAAAAAACAATTGGACCCTCTTTGCTCAGGCTTCTTTTCCAAGGCATTACCTCTGGCAAAAACAACCATGTTAGTGGAATCGCATTGGTGTGCTTTCAAGCATAATTATAAATATAGCACCAATCGGCCTCACCTAGATCACTTAACACAAATTATAACCCAAGAATTAATTCTGGATAAAATATATGAATGGAACAAGTTTAACAATAATCATGTATTTTCAAGATGGTGGGGAAGATTTAAAAACAATTGGAAAGTTGCTTTGGAAAAGGAAATTAGCATAGAGGGTGAATATCTTACTGATACAAATAAATGGATATGTTCATGTCTTGCATTTCTTGAAAATAATTATATGTTGTGCAAACATTTAGTTAAAAATTATAACACTACATACCCAGATTTCTTTCCTCAATTTGCAACCACAAAATGAAGACATGACTATCCATTTATTTATTTTGGTAAAGATAAATTTCCAAATATTGAACCAACAAATAATCCCTGGAATGATGAAAGTATTGAAAGTTTTTTCAATGAAACTGAAATTGCAAGTGACATAAAACCATTCCTTCATAGTCAAAATGAATTGAATGAATCTAGAAAAGCTGAGCTAGAAGAGGATAAAAAGACATTTGAATCTTTAATAACTATTGTTTCAGATAATATTCAAAACGATCGCTTTTATGAAGTTTACAAAAAACTAAAACAAACCTTAGTTACTGAAACAATAGCCTGCCAAGAAGCTTTAAGAGCTAGAAGGTAACAAAAAACTTGGAATCTACCCCGTGGTTCAAAACTTGCCTTCTGGTTGCAATGAGAAATCTTTGTACTATGTTCATATTAAAAAAATTATAAATAATAAATTATTCATGTAAAATCGTGCTTTTTGGTTTCATTCTTAACCATTAACAACTTCCTTGGAACAGTTAAATGTTTACCGTTACTGCAGTACTTAACTAAAAGTGCGATAAAAAAGCTATCTATATGTTACCATAATTGGTTAAAGCCCCCTTGACCCGATTTGGAGTGTCGATAAGCTCGGAGGTCACGGTACCGCCAAATTTTTGCGCCATTACTATTACACTCGATTATTACCTACTGCCCAAATACTAAATACAAGCTAAATTTGCATATTCAAACGAATATAATCAAATATTATTTATATTTCAGTATTCACCATGTAAAACACATCTACATTTTTTAAACAAATGTTTTTTTTGGCAAGAGCATAATTTAGTACCACCAATACTTTTTGATCCTTTATTCGATTGTGTAATGTTTTGCACAAATTATTTCATAAAAATTTTCAAAATAGCGAACTTGCGTTCCTATCTATTTTGTTTAAATATGTGTCTTACTGATAGAAGAATTTCGAAAATATTAGCCATCCATTATTTGAACGTTTTGTTTACACAATAAGTAAATTTAAGATGACTAGACATAACAATTCCATCCATTAAATTTCCTTTTATTGTATTCGATCAAAGGTCTTACACAAATAATGAGGTTATATTCTTGCGATAAAAGATCGATTCAAGTATAACTTATAGAAAAAGCATTATTATCGAAAAAATGAATTAAATTCATCTTTATATCGTCTTATTATTACTATCAATAATCCTGTAATCCATAACGAGTTATTTCTCAATCAGTAAAAATCGAAAAATGACAGCCAATTGATAATTGACATAAATTGAAAATGATGCTGACATATATACCGTGATGAAAATTTCATGAAATTTGATTTACGTACGTACGTAAAATTACATTTACGTAAAATTACATGTACATGCTAGTTCGGATATTGACCTGAATTTAGGCCGTAATTAAATCATATGCTTCATGTTTATTATCTAATGAGAGACTCAACTTTTGGGGTAGGGCCGGACTTCCCATATCCATATTAATATTACTTAAAACGGATAGTAATGTCACACAGCATTTATTTTTGTAACATATACGTATAAAAGTCCTTACGTAAGTACATACGATTTTCAACATCAATATGATAACATTACCGAACGAATGTTACTATGAAATATTTAATAATCTCCGACATAATTATAAAAATTTATTTTCATGCGCTCTTGTAAATCGACTATGGTGTAGATTAATTATACCAATATTGTGGATCGATCCAAAAAATTATTTTAAAGATGAAAGACTTATAAGAATATTCTTTTTAACATTAAATGCCAAAGAACAATCTATATTAATTCCTTTTAATATTACTCTTCCAAATCACCCAAAACCACTATTCGAATATACAAGTTACATCACATCTGTTGATAATAATCTATATGATGGAATTAGAAATTGGCTTTATTATGAAAAACATACAGTACGTAAAACGACATGCAAACTTGAAAATGCCATCAAATGTTCTTTGATTGCAATGTTTCTACGAACTAGTAAAAATCTTAAACATTTAAACCTTGATGAAATTATTTGCGATCAAATAATATATGAGGGTCTTTATGAGAATACTGCTATTACCGATATGGATTTACATAATATTAGTAGTGATTTTAAAATAAATGCATTAATAAAGATCCTTTATAAAAATTCTACTTTGACGTCTTTAGGTATTCATAATAGTCAGATTAATGGTGAACAGGGAAAGATGTTAGCAAAGTCTCTTTGCAAAAACACCACGCTGACTTCCTTAAATCTTGAATATAACGAAATTGGATTAGAAGTAGGAAAAGCATTAGCAGATGCATTTTGTATGAACACTATGCTAACCTTTTTAAATATTAATGGTAATAATCTTGGATTGGAAGGTGGAAAAGCTTTAGCTAATGCACTTTGCAAGAATGTCACATTAACTTCTTTGAACCTTCGGGATAATAACCTTGGATTAGAAGGAGGAGAAGCAATAGCAGATTCACTTTGTAAGAATACCATGCTAAATGTTTTGAATCTTAGCTATAATCATCTTGGATCCAAAGGAGGAAAAGCATTGGCAAATGCACTGTGCAAGAACTCCACGTTAACTTCTTTGAATCTTTGGGATAATGATCTTGGAATAGAAGGAGGAAAAGCATTAGCAGGTGCAATTTGCAGGAACACCACATTAATTTCTTTGAATCTTCAATGTAATAAATTTGGTCCAGAAGGAGGAAAGGCAATAGTAGATTCACTTTGCAAGAATATGACGCTAAAAGATTTGAATATAAGTTATAATAATCTCGGATCAGAAGGAGGAGAAGCATTAGCAAATGCACTTTGCAAGAACACCACACTGATTTCTTTGAATTTTCGTAATAACTGGATTGGTCCTAAGAGCGGTAAAGCATTAGCAAATGCACTTTGCAAGAATACCACGCTGACTTATTTAGATCTTCAATATAATAATCTTGAATCAGAAGGCGGAAAGGCTTTAGCAGACATGCTTTGTAAGAATACCACCTTGGCATCATTGTGTCTTGGAAGTAATAATCTTGGATCTGAAGAAGGTAAAACCTTAGCAGATGCACTTTGCAAGAACACTACGCTAACTTATTTAGATCTTCAATGCAATAATCTTGGATCAGAAGGAGGAAAAGCTTTAGCAGATATGCTTTACAAGAATACCACCCTGACTTCATTGCGTCTTGGAAGTAATAAACTTGGATCTGAAGGAGGAAAAACGTTAGCAGCTGCACTTTGTAAGAACACTACACTATCCTATTTAGATATTAGTTGGAATAATATCAAATTAGAAGCAGGAAAAGCGTTCGTAGATTCACTTTGCAAGAATACCACGTTAAAAGATCTGAATCTTAGTTATAATAACTTCGGATATGAAGGAGGAAAAGAATTAGAAAATACACTTTGCAAGAACAATGACTTGAATATTCTTTTTCGTAATAATGGATTTAAAATCAATCCATTTACAAGTGGTAACACTGACTCACGTGATGCATTTTAAGAGTTTACAAAATTATTTATCCTTGTTTATAAAATATTAGGAACCTCACGACAACCTTGGAACCTAACACTTTACTACGTATAATCACAAATAAAATTTTCTTATTCAGTTATTATGTAATTTTTTTATATCGAGAGTAGAGTAAGCGTCCAGTTATAGCACTAATAGTTATAGAAATAGTTTTTATAAAATGCCTTAGTTTGCTAATTTACGAAGAACTATTTGAATTATTACTGTATGATGTATATCGGCAATATTTGGAATATAAAATTGACAAGGATCACTTGAACAAAAGTGTTGATACAGGAGATTTTAGCATGGTGGACAAGTCTCGTAGCACAAACTTCCCACGCTGACTCAGGGTCGATCTGCCCAATAAAAGTGTGAAAT